TGGAAACTACCAAAACATCTAAAGTGGGTTGACCTAATTCCAACCAGTGTGAAAACATTAATAATTTGACACCCTGGAAAGAAGCATTAACCAGAATGCTTTCACTTTTGGTTTTAATGTTTATTTATATTGTGCAGAGTAAACTTTTGATTGAAAGTACTTCCTTTAAATGAACAATCGAATATCAATCAAGGAATCAAGGACATTTATTCGCTGTTATATAACACAAGGCTGGATAACAAAATGGAGGTTTTGTGTTTCCTTCATGCTACACACATAGAAATAAAATAAAAACAGAGCTGTTACTACTTTTATTTACAGTGAGTATTTGGTTGTTTTCTGTTATTTTGTTATTTTATTTTATTTTGCATCTTCTGCTACATTACATGAAAACAGGAACAGGAAGCATACTGTAACACATGGAGTTTCCCCTATTTTTACTCCAAATGCGTGTATCTTGTCTCCCATTAGATACCATCATAGTGCAGGTCCAGCAGTGGGGAGTGGTGGGTGCTCAGCGGGTCGTGGACCAGGTCCTTCTCAACGGGGTCTCTCTTACTGGCACAAGCCAGGAAGTTGACAACATTGTCCAAACCATGTCAGCTGATGCTCTCCCCCAAACTCTCATTAGTCTCAACAAGACATCACCAATGAGTAAGAAAATCATCATGTGCTATTAATGAATCTGACTGAGATAAATTACATATTATTCATTAACAGCCTTTATCCCCCGCTCCCCCCCAGTTAATCTCACCGTCCTTCGTTCCCGGGAATGCATACTGGAGGGGTCTCAGCTGCACTGGAACGACCGTGTGTTCTGTGATGGGAAGCTCTATCTGACTCTGGACCACACTGACACGTGGACGGCCCATGTACCACAAGCACTGGCCCTCAAAGCGTTGTGGGACCAGGAGGTGCAGCGGACCAGGACGGACAGGATCCACCTTCAGGAGGGATGCATCAAACTAATGAGTGAACTGAGGCTGTCAGAGGAGCAATTAGGTAAACATTAATTTTTGCTTTTGAGAACTATGATGAAGCTCTAAAGGTCCAGTGTGTAACATTTAGGATGATATATTTGTAGAAATGGAATATAATATTTATAGGTATGTTTTCATTAGTGTATAATTATCTGACAATAACTTTAACATCATGGTGCAAAATAACTAATCACATCAATGAGAATGATATACAGTAATTCCCTCCCTAATGGCATTTTCATTTTAGGCCTTTCTTGTATGCCTGTGATGTGATTGATAATTAGACACTTTATTGTAAGGCAGGACCCATTCTACATTATAGATAGAATTAATCACAGCATTAGATAATATCTTTTCTGGGTTCATAGCTGTACCTGTCTGGTAGTTTGGACTATTTCTAGGGTTGAAAATTATTCAGAGGAGAAGAGCCTGAATGCTGCTGGTGGCTGTAAATTATGTAGGCAGCTGGTGGCATCTGACTGTAAGTCATGTGACACAGTGGGTGCGTAAAGTGAAAGGGTTACATAAAGTGAAACATTAGCTTGTTTATGTGATTGCAACAATCAACTTCCACTTGTGACACGAGTGACCAGTTTTGACCTTATTTTTTTTAATGTTTTCCTAGTTCAAGGGACTCTTTTGCCTCAGTTTCTGATCCCAGTCTCGTCACTTCTTCTCTTTATTGGACTTATCATGATCAGCCTCCTCCTTTCTAAAAAGCTGGGTGAGTAGATAAGACTTTATTCACCATTTGAATAAAAATAAAACAAGATGTACAACCTTGCAGACTTCATGATGCAGCAAAGAAACAGTGGAATACAATCCTATTCTGCATGTTGTCAGCAAACAATGGGAATCATTTTCTTTACATCTGCTTTATTTAATTCCTCATTAACCCTCAATATATGCTGTTTGTATACCTGGAGTCTTGTAATAATTTCCCCCTGGGATTATTAAATTTAAATTTCTGATTCTGATTCTGATTCTGAACCCTCATAAATGCAGCATGCTTTGGGTTAAATGTGTCCTGTCACATGAGTTTGGTATGCAGTCTCATACTCATGGGGAAATATAAAGCATAGTCATGTGTTTTGTCTTTCTCTGACTAGGTTTGAGGCACCCTGGAGGTAAGACAACAATCCCTATGTTTTCTCTTAGGCCTCTGTAGACTGTAGTCAACTCAGTTAAAGTCATGGGAGAAGATTGTTGAAGAGTTAAATATTAAATGAACTCAACCACATTCCCTTCGGATGGGCATGTGGTTTTGTCTACCCTGAAACACTCTGTGATACTGCATGTGATACAGTATGAACTTACTTTTATTATTACTGAATATGACTGGAACAGTTTCTAAAAAAATAACTCATAAGAATTTTATTAGAAGTGATGTACAATAATCCTGAACAGTGAATGAGAGTGTGCAGTTCATTGTGTTAGCTTGTTTTCTTTCTTTAGGTCACAAATGTCAGCCTATTGTTTCTTCTGTTTTTCTCCTTCCAGGTGTTCTTGGCTCTGTTATACATTACCCCCCGGACATGACTAAAATGTCTCCAGAGATAAAAGACAACGGTTATCGTACCCTGTAATTCAAAGCTCCACTCTCTGATTCAACACATTATGTGTGTGTGTGTGTGTGTGTGTGTGTTGCTTTATGAATGTGCAACAGGAGGTTGCCAACGGAAGACAATGTGAAACATGTGATCTGGATTTCAAACCACAGTCTTTTATGCACTTTAATTCCTGTATTGTATGGTTGTTTTTAATGCATATAATTTCAAACCATTGTGCATATATACACACACCAACGTGTACAAATAATTGCCTGCAGCAATATGCAAGCTTCTTTTGCACAATTTAATAACTATAAGGGCAGATGTTTTCACGTGTCAGAATTTCTTCATGAAGCTATTTAAGTAAATAATTTATATTGAAATGTAGCATAAAAATGTTCTATTTCAACCACAAACAGTAATGCAAGCTAATACAGACAGTGTCACAAATATCTTAACAAACTCTGCCAAACACTGGATGGACAATGTGTGTCCAACTGTGCTGTATTGTTGTTTGGTCTGAGATACCTTCCTCATTGTTAAATATTTTTTTTATTTATTTGTAAAATTCTGCATTGTTGTGATTGATGTAGATTTCCCCCCTATTATTTGTTCGTGTACAGAAAATTTCCAATTAAAGATACTTTATGGCATGTTAATGCTGTCAGATTTATTTATTCACTTAGTGTCAGCAGTATTAAGGGCTATGGTTTTCTTTTATTTCTGGACGGATGATTTAGTAGGTCAGCCTCTCACATATCGAATTAAAAGGAATATCTCAAATTGATTTCTTAATACAAACAGTTTCACTGTTGCTTAGTGTTCATATTTAGTGTTGTGCATATAAATAAAATAACTGATGGGGGAACAGAGTAGGACATTTGCACCTCATCAGTGACCATACAGTTTTTGAGGTTTAAATATTTGAAGCATAACAAGGTAAAATATGATCATTCTCTCATTGGATATTTTTTAACACAAGCAAAACGATCAGTATCATCTGCAGCCTCAGATTATCATCCTACAGTACGTTCCTAGCACATTACAGTCCTTCAAGACAATAATGTTATATTTTCTGATAAGGTTTGGTCAGAGACAAAATGTTCCCTTTGAGCTGCTGATTGGCCTGTATAGAAACAGCATCTCATTCGTCTCTTTATGATGCTCCCAAAATAATTGTGCCAGATTTAACATTTAATTTATTTTATTTTCAGGATCTTGCTGCAAAGTGGTTGTTGGTTCACCAGATTAGTCAGTTTATATGTCTGTATTATTAAGTAATCCGAGTCTTGATAATGTCTCTGATTTTAGCATCACTATGGCAAGAACATTTAGTTTTAATCTNNCAACATTACAGCTCTGAGTAAAGTCACTCACTAACACTTGACATACAAAATCTAATTTTCAATGGGTGAATATACAGTACTCCTACTATTGATCATCTGTGAATGGCTCAGCTATTTGCTTATTATCTTCTTCTGAAGATGAGAAGAAGATTTTCTTAATCCAATCAGATAACTCCATACTCATAATTTGACAATTAATTAACAGGTGGTGTTCATTATGCCTTTTTTGAATAATTAAATCCAGGGTAAATGAATTATGACTGGATCTAAACATATATGTCTCATACGATGCTTGTTGTAGCACCACCAACTATGTTACATTGCAGATACGCATTCAAAGATATATTCCAGTATAAAACAAGTCTTCTACTGAAATACACTTTAAACTTATACTATATAATATAGTATTATATTTACACAATGTTGGCTTTATTGTCTGCTTTAGTTGAAATGTCACTTTTGACCTTTCTAAATCTTCTTTTAATTGGATAACTTTTAAGGTTGTTATAAATAAAGTTTAAGTTTTCTAGATGTCTTCCTTAAATCTGAGACTCTGTATTACAGTACCCAATGTAATTCAATTTTTTGGAAATATAAAGCATAGTCATGTGTTTTGTCTTTGTGTGCCTAGGTTTGAGGCACCTTGGAGATAAAACAACAACCCCTATGTTTTCTTTTAGGCCTCTGTAGACTGTAGTCTACTCAGTTAAAGTCACGGGAGAAGATTACCAAAGAGTTAAATATTAAATGAACTCAAAACCTGGAATCTCAGACACACATTTGTATTACAGCACCTTGTGTAACTAAATCTTACATTTTATTTTCCTGTGAATATCGGGCCTTTAAATACATTCCTCAACGTTCAAATAATCAAATACAAGGCATTTGATAATGGACTGTGTCACCATTAAAAAAAAGAAAAGAAAACGTGGACTTCTATTGTGTTTTATTTCTCACGGTTTCACACAGTAAAATCCCAACTCTAATACCATCACTTGGCCGATAGATGGCGATAGTCTTTTAGGGAGGAGGTTCGTTTGAGGCGTTGAGCTTTCAGGAAGTGTCCTCCACCAATCACAGAGATGCATTCGTAAACGTTACCGCAGCAACGCCAGGGCCGATAACGGCAGCTCCTTGAACGAACCAATCGCAGCAGCGCTTTCCGACATTTAAACCGTGTGGCGTCATCGTCACGAAATTCAAAATTTAAAGAGGAGAGAGAAAAGGCCAGCGCTGCCACAGAGTAACCCACGTTTACTGAACAGGTGAGACCTTTTTGGTTGTTTTGAAGCCGCTAAAGTGCAACGGCCATTACGCTTTTGAAACAGTAATTCTATCTTGTGCTGCCTTTTAATTGTTACTTTAGATAAATGCTAACTCGAGTTGATTCACGTTACTTTAGGTTAGCTTAACGTTAACTGCACTCGTTGTACCTAACCGGAGTATTGCAGATTAGTTTCACCTAACGTTAAATGAATCTGTTTTCGTCCTCCTTTTTAAATAAATAAATAAATAAAAAATAAAACAAATAGAAGTTTAGTGGCTCACAACATCCGCTCATGTAAGTGAACGTCAGTGCTAACGCTATTAGCATGGGTCGCCTAGCGTACACACCTAACCTAAGTTAACTCGTTGAATCGGTGACTCTAAATTACTGTTGCACATCCGACAAACGCTTGTTATTTGCCTTTAAAACACAGGTCGTGTGAAAACCTGGACACAATGGCTCAGTTTGGGTTTGAGAACGACATCCACAGCATCCTGAAGCTGGATATGCCCATCACAAACGCTCCCATGGCGAGGTGGCAGAGAAAGGCCAGCTCATCTAACACATCCGCCCTGAGCGGGTTGTCGCCCGGCAAATCGACCAATGTGTCGCTGAGCTCATCAAAAACACCGAGCAAAACGCCAGGTAATGGTTGCATTCACGCACCTTGACACTTCTCTGAAGTTAACGCCATATCTCTGCTAATGTTAACCACTGGGGTGTTTCTTTTTTTTTCGTCATAGGTAAAAATAAAAAACAAACGCCCTCTAAGATGGGGGGTGACCGCTTCATTCCCACCAGAAACAGCAAACAAATGGATGTGGCAAGCTTCCTGCTCACAAAGGAGAATGAGCCTGTGGACACAAATAATACAGCAGGGGCATCAGTAAGTTATTCATCCAGCAAGGGATCTATTTTATTTTTAATAAATGAAGGCTTTAATGATTTACGCCAACATATGTGTCTTTTGAAGGAAAGCCAGAAAGCCTGGTCTATGTCACTAAATGGATACAACATTGAAGATGCGAAGATCCTGCACCTTGGAGGACAGCCACTGAATGCACCAGAAGGTATATTACTGTACAAACATGCTGCTCGGCAGGAATATTGCATTAATATAGAAAGTTTAAAAATTCATGGTCTTTTTTTTTTTTTTTTTTAAATTTACAGGCTATCAAAACAACTTGAAAGTCCTCTACAGTCAGGCTACAACTCCTGCCTCTGTCAAAAAGACAAGATACATTTCTTCAACTCCTGACAGAATCTTGGACGCTCCTGAACTTAGAAATGATTTTTGTAAGTTTGGCACTTAAGAAGGTTTTTCATAATCGCATTCATTCACGTTATTAGTTTACTCTGTACAATGTATGCATGACTCATCACATCTGCATTCACAGCAGACCACTGAGGCCCTATATTAGTCTTTATACTAAGTATAAAGATTTTTTTAATCTTTATGGAAAAGGGCACACCTAGCAAACTCATAATTCAGTTTTTATTCTTTATTTTTAGATTTGAATCTGCTTGACTGGAGCAGTCGCAATGTTCTCGCTGTGGCGCTTCATAACAGTGTTTACCTGTGGGATGCCAGTCGAGGAGACATCACCCTTCTCATGAAGCTGGAGCGTGAGGAAGACTACATCTGCTCACTGTCCTGGACCAAAGAGGGAAGCTACCTAGCTATCGGCACCAGTGACTGCAAAGTCCAGGTCAGTGTGCTGATGAACACAGCACCTTTGGTTCATAAGGACATGTGGCACTGTAACTGCTTCCTATATTGCTTTTAATGATATATTTTTGTTTCGTTAGTTGTGGGATGTTGAAAACCAGAAGCGTTTACGCAGCATGGGAAGCCATACTGCTCGAATTGGTAGCCTGAGCTGGAATGACCATCTTCTTTCCAGGTAACTAATCTCCGACCTAAAAGACACATTTATAATTCTAGTGGTGGTTTTTGGACTCGTGTAATATTTCTCTCCTCCTAGTGGCTCGAGATCAGGGCACATCCACCATCATGATGTCAGGGTTGCAGAGCATCACATCTCCACGATCACTGGTCACTCACAGGAGGTGTGTGGGCTAAAGTGGTCCCCTGACGGGCGATACCTGGCCAGTGGAGGCAATGACAACTTGGTGTGCGTATGGCCCCGTGTTCAGGAGGGCAGTGGCAGCAACAGCAACCAGTCAGTTCGCTGCTGGAGTGAACATCAAGGAGCTGTCAAGGTCAGTAGCTTTTATACTTGCCAGGATTTATAAGGTGTAACTACTTGTCATTAAAACTCCCCTTTGGATGTGTTTATTATTCTAGGCTTTGGCCTGGTGCCCTTGGCAGCCAAATATTCTCGCATCTGGAGGTGGTACCAGTGACCGTCACATCCGCATCTGGAATGTGAACAGTGGCTCCTGCATAAGTTCCCTTGACACTCAGTCCCAGGTAATTGTACACTTCTAGACCCTTCAGTTTTAATGGTTATTGGTCAAATGTACTGCATTTTGAAATGGTTTAAATTGGAGGGGACTCACTCACTACACAGAAGTTTGCACACTGAGGGGGTCAAAATCGATATTCTCTTTTAAGGGTTTTTTTGAATCTTATTGCCAGATTGTCTCATAAAAGACCAACTTTTTAGTCGGGGCACAAGATCCTTTTGTTTATAGATGGTTATGTTGCCATGACACTTAAAATACTATTTTGGGGCCCATTGATGTGCCGTTCTCTTATTTTTTTATTTTTTTTTTTTATTTTTTTTTTTTTTTTTAGGGTACATGAATATTTGTCTGGATGTAAGTACACTTGGTTCCTCCTTTTTTCTCATAACTTTTCCTTTTCAGATCTCATCTCTAGTGTTTGCACCCAACTACAAGGAGCTGGTCTCTGCACATGGCTATGCCCACAACAATGTCGTCATCTGGAAGTACCCCTCTCTCACCAGAGTTGCAGAGCTCAACGGTAAGTAACTTTTAGACTGGATTGGCTCTGTACTTGTTCACACATAATCTGCTTTAAATGAAACACCCAGTCAGCTGGAAACTGCTGTGCTTCATGCTTTCTGCTGGTCTAAACACATTCATGCTTTATGCTTTATTTTAGGCCACGAAGACCGGGTTCTCAGTTTGACTCTGAGCCCAGACTTCTCTTCCATTGCGACTGTTGCTGGAGACGAGACTATTCGTCTGTGGAAGAGCTTCGAAGTGGATCCCATTAAGAAGAAGGCCAAAGAAAGGGTCAAATCAACTAGCAGTGTCATTAATCAGTCGATCCGATAATCTGTCTTGACATTTGAGGTTTTTTTTGATCTATGATGAATGAATTATGTGAAAATGTTTTATTTAATCCACAATAAAGATTTACGCCCAGTGTCTTAGCCTTAACTGGCAACCACTCCTGTTGGTAGTGTAATGGGTTGTTAGTCTCACTTGTTTGTACAGGTCTAAAGTACAAGTGAGTGTTTGCTTTTAAGCAGTGATGGTTTTAGTGCATTTATGACCATGTCTTTTATTATCTGATCAATGCATTGTATACACAGGACTGGGTTATAAATAAATGGTTTGTTTACCATGTGTGCTTCTGTCAGTTAATTGGCATGTATTCTGCCATATCTCCATCAGTAACTGGTTCTGTTGTCAGGATCAGAGTCACATGATCAACTGCACCTGTGGTTTAGGCTATAAAGTTTAACATAAGGACTGAATCAAGTGTCACACTTATGTAATTACAATTAGAAGTGTCACTACTTCCTCAATTTGATACCAGAAACAGGGTTACTGATTATCTGCCCAAAATGACAACCAGTTAATGTACTGCCACATGTCCAGTGCCTGGGAGCTTACTAGTAATGGGTAAGCCACAGAAATAAACATTTATGCATGGTCAGAGCAGTTCCAATGTTTTTTGCTACTGTGTGGTTGGTATATTGATACTGCAGGAGATTTTAAGGAAACAGGCAAACATGCCACAATATAATATAGTTGTCCTTAATGAATAAAATTAAATGTATAACACTTAATAGCAATGATATAGCCTACATTATACTGTTTTATAATAAGAATAATCTTTGCAGAACATAGTTTCATAAAAGTGGTTATTTTATTTGCTCACCATGCAAAGGTCTAGTCAATAATCACGCACACAGCATCACTTGCGGTGCGATTGCATTCCCTCATATTGACCAATTGTACAACACTGGAAACACAGCAGCACAGATAAAATGATGAAAACGATAATTTCATGCTGGGAAGCATTCAGGACACACCTATACTCAGATGTTGAGGCTCTCTGACACTCCTGCTCATTCACCTAGTTTGGCTGGTCCTCTGTTCGTTTTGACAAAGTAATAAGGCATTTCAAACCTCTACAAGTTCCAGTTTAGTCAGGCAGCTAGTCAGATGTCAAGTAACAAGAGCAACAACCCCATAACATGTTGGACTTGAGGTCTGTTTACTTGTGTAAAGACTGTGGTGCTGGGTTTACATGGGACACAAAACAAATGGCACCTTCACAGTTAAAAGAAACCCCCTGACAGTGAAACACATCACTTCCCTCTCTCTTGTGAACATACTGTGATGTTTCATGTAACCAGATGCAAGAGGAAATTGTGCATTCTTGTCACTGTCCTAATAACACACTCATTTTAAACTGACCAAAATTCTTCAAAATGACAGGAAGCTCTTTTGGAATACTCCCCAACCAGTCCCTCCTCTGGTGTCTGACAGCAAGAAAGCATCTCATCCTACTCCCAAACAGGTTCATGGGGTAGGTGTGCAGACTAACCTGTTTCGGCCTAGTCCTGTGTGGCTCAACAGGTCCACCTCTTTAAAGGTCCAGTGTGAAACATTTAGGAGGATCTACTGGCAGAAATGGAATAGAATAATTCATTCAGGTATGTTTTCATTCGGGTCACCTTACTTGGAAGCCGCCATATTGAACCGCATGTTTCTATAGTAGCCCAGAACGGACAAACCAAATACTGGCTTTAGAAAAAGGGCCCTTCCTCTAATTTTTGCTGCATTTCATGTGCCAATTGTAGTATCTCGGTTGGAAAGGAGAGGTGAGTGAATGAGTTGGCAATTTTCAACTACACCGTTACATGCCAATAAATCCTACAATACATGCACAGAGGCACTGGTGACACTGACAGTGACTCCACAACTCAAAATGAGTGACCTTGGCCATAAATGTATTGCTGGTGAGCTAGTCAACCTCTTTCTTAAATCCATGACTGTGAATGGGAGAAAAATATTTAGCTAGCTTTAACTTAAACTAGACTACACCCGGCAACAGACTTCCCGCTTAGCATGTAAAACCTTACGAAACAGCATTCTAGCTTTACAGTGAATTTCCATTTACCACAGTCATAAAAACATTTGTCTCTCTTTATAGTTTGTATGATGGTGAATCAAGTCATACGCATTCATTCATGCACATTCAGATTGCTACCAGACGAGATTCACTGAATGAAAACTATTTGAAGCCAAAGGTAGAATTTCCTTTGTGTCATCACTAATGAATTGCGGACAGTTTTTTTTTTTTTTTTTTTTAATTTGTCAATGAAATCATTTGCTGTTGGGTCATGTTGGGAAATAATTTTTTATAAAGGGTAACCATAAAAGCTTATTTACCAGTGCGTGTGTATGTGTAATGCAATTTGTGTTGTTTGTTGTCTTTTTAGCTAAAGCTGTAATGCACGCCGGAGTAAATTTATAGTCAAGTTGTTCATTAGGTGTTGGACTCACATGGTGTAAAAAATATTATTTGGAAAAGAAATACAAAACATTTATAGAGTTTTTATTTTGTTTTAAATCAGAAACAGATTAATCTATTGAACATTATGTGGGTTAATTGTAACATATAAACAGCTCCTGGAAACACCTAAACATCTCTTCTTATGTACTTTTTGTAGCAAATATCAGATCCGATTTTGAAAAGGCTAGCAGTGCTTCAAAACTAGATCATCCTTCCACTGTTATTAGTGCACAAGTGTAATCAACAGTAAAAACACTGGTAGGTTTATATACATTCTGCAGTGATATTCAGAAACAGCCTTATACAGCATCATTTTTAATTAATCGTAATTGAACAGAAAGCACTTCTGTTAGCTTCTTGCTCTGTGTGCTGAGGAAATAGACCACACAGTGTTGCAAAACTCAGTATGGGTTAATATGGATGAACATGCTAGCAGTGTATATGTCACTACCTAATTATGCAAAAATGCAAATTGCATAAATACTGTAATATACAGTATAACGTTTCTTTTCCACAATTCTTAAAATTGAAAAACTGAGGTGTGGTATGTTTCCCACAAAAAGTACACACCATAACTGCTTTCCAAATGACACAGACCTTTATCTAAAACATTTTTTTATTTCAAAAGATAAATAAAAAACAGAAAAAACCTAAGTATTTGACATTTACAGTGAAACTTTGTAGCAGTTCTTTAAATGTGCTAGCCTTCAGTGGAAACTGTGATATTTTCAAGAAACAAGGGTCATGCCAGCGAAACAGTTAGTAGTATAGGGGAAGCTTGTGTGCGTCAAGCATGAGTTGAAGTGAGAAAATGAGCACCAAATATCTTCATACAGTGTTCATCACAGTTAATAGTTTTTGCAACAACCAACAAACACAATGTGGCATTTGGAGATCACCGGCAAAACACAACATGCCATTTGTATCCCAACAAGTGTGCATAAGAAATACTAAGCATATATAGAAATTATGAAGTCTAGAAGTAGCATATTGAAATCTGCCATTCCAATGTGCTTATAGATATGAGTGATGAATGACATATTCAAGGTAGCTCTACAGAGCCTCCGTCTCATTTCCAGAGTCACCAAGTTAGATTTCTTTTACTTTGCCCAGGAGGATTTTACCATTGGTGTGGTGGTGTCCGTTCCCATTCTCCAGGTGTTTCCCATTGGCCACCACAGCAATAGGTTCACTGGTTAAGCCGTTCTGTTTTGGTTTGTCCTCTGAGACAGGGAGCCGCTTGCCCTTTATGTAGGCCTGTATCCAAAAGTTGGAGAAGAGGAGGAAGAAGAAGACACCATACATCCAAATGAGGTGGATCCAAAGGGTCACCTGGTAGTCACACTTTTCCATGAAGTAGTACTGGCTGATGTGAATGGAGACCAGGATAAACTGTGTCTGTAAAATGGCAAGGAAAGGACAGATTGTTACTGAAAATGTAATTCTAGTCTAGATATATATAAAAGTCAAATGAGCCTTCATTTCATGATCAATAAATAGTTTTAAATAAAAGGGACATACAAGCTGGATAGCAGTCATGTACTTCTTCCACCAGAGGTATTTCTGGAAGCGTGGTCCTGCAGCAGAGAGTGCGTAGTAGAAGTACATGATAACGTGGACAGCTGCATTCACCATGGCATGGAAGGAGCCCATTCCTCCAACTTGAGAAAAAACACACAGAATTGTTTTGTTAAAAAAGGACCAATGTGTAAGATTTAATGGCATCTAGTGGTGAAGTTTCAAAATTGCAACAATCTGAACACCGCTTGTGTCTGTATTTGATGACCTGGGAATGTAAACAGGCTGTGAAGTGTGTAGGAGAGACTACAGTGACAGCAAAACTCTGATTTGAACATGGCAGTTCAACATGGTGGACTCCATGAGGCTGAGCCGGTGTCTGTAGCGGCTCAAGCCTTATACTTTCATTATAATCACTGTCAAGAGTCATGTGTAATTTCATGAGATTTTAAGTCTAGGGCTATTTTCCTTATGTATAATGCATGTGTGTTATGTATGATGAGTTTTACATCAATATCATGCTCAGTAAACCTCACCAGGAGTCAAGGTGACGCCCCACCACCACGTCCAGGGCATGAAGGAGTGATGGAACACATGGAGAAATGTGATCTGGCTTTGTTTCTTCCTCAGCACAAAGAATACCTCAAATAAAATTAACAAAGACCAAGCTAAAGTTAACATGCACAAAAGATATGTTACAAAAAATGTCAGACAATTAAAAAGTGTACTAGAAAAGGAAAAAAATAGATGTTTGTAGAGATGAAAACATCCTTACTGTGTCAAGCAGCTCCGTGTATTTTGAAATATAAAACCACCAAGCCACTTGAACCATCTGAGGGACAGAAGAGAAGAGAAGAGCTGTAATGTCAAATATCTATCTACAGACAATAATCTTCATTCCACCAGAGCAATCTGTAGCCTAAAGGTTTGTTGTTTTTAATGACACAACAGGCTGAATTAAGTGAATCGGATCTCTTGAATTTCCTGGCTTACCCGAAGAGCCTGCGGGCTATATGAGGTATCAATAAGGTCACATCTCCACGTATAGGTGGTTCCCCATCCAGACATCACGAACTAGGAGTAAGAGACACATCAGCAGCTGTTATTAACTTTTCACAAGCACTCTGGTATTTGAAGAAAGAGAGGTTTTACTCAGCAAATAATATAATTTTGTTTACCTCATACACTATGTAGGCATTCAGTAAAACCATGCTGATGTTGTAGACAATCATGGCTGTGTTGAGACGGAAGGGCTTGCGGTTTGCCATCAGACGAGGTCCAACATACACTGAGAAGAATACATAAGCCAACAGGATGGAGGTCATCTCTATGGGGCTCTGCATCAATGGAAAATCTCTGATGCGGGCATCTGGTGGAAAACAAAAACACACTCCATATTGTCTCAGCATGTCTTTAATTAACAGTTATATGGGAGGGTTAAAAGGTAAATGCAGTTTCTGGAAGATTCATGCGGTAGTTTAAGCCAAACAAAAGCAAAAATTCTCTTTTTAAAAACAGTCTTTCGTCATGCTATTATCACATGTTATTGAAGGCATAAATCTACAGAGACAAAAGACACTTACCAGTTCTCAAATATAGATAATTGTATAATTTTAAAATGTTTGATGCAGCTTCTCGCAGCATGGTGACCGCTTGCGTCTCGTCCTATTAAACCCCTGAATGAAATCAGAAAAGACAAAAGAGTCAGAGACCAGAAGGAGATGAAGCGGAGCTGAAAGAGAGGTTGGCTGGGCAGGTGAGCTACAAAGCGACCTCTCCACCTGCTTTCCCATCGACTGAACAAACAGGAGACAGCTGCACAGGCTCATCAAACACCCCTGAGTGCCCATGTGTACAGCCTTTGAAAAAAATACACAGAGAAATCTGTACTGGGAGCTCATATCACTGCCCAATCCAAAGTGTAGCATGTAAGCTAAAAAAAAAAAAAAAAAGGAAATTCTTTCATTTAGTGACTAAAACAACAAAACAATGCTCCAGTATGAAACAGTTAAATCAATTAATGTTTGATAAATGATTGTGAAACATCAGAGTTCTGCTGTCAGTCTAAATACAAAGAAATACTATCCTGCTGACTAACATATCAAGTCAAACAGGTGAGGCAAAGAACTCGGCCCTTGTGGCCAGTTTAGCCAACCCTTTGAGTTTCTAAGATAGGAGCTCTTCAGGAATTTCAGGTGGGGAGTAAAACTACAGAACCAGAAAACATAATTAGTTTTAAGCAGCAAGATTCATGTTGTTCGTTCTAATCCAGAGGAATCTTACTGGACTATAAAACTGGACCATGTATTTGGCAAAAGACACCAAACACTTTAACAGGAGCAGCACAGAACCAAACGATACATGATCTAAGATCCCTGAAACCGCTAAAATACTTGATGTAGTATTAGTAACAAATGACTCACCCACTGAGCACAAGTCCTCAGCACTCAGTCCTGTTTGTCAGGAAAGCAGCTGCACAGCCAGGGCAGGCAGCACTCAATCCACACAGGCTCCAACAGATCAGAAACACCGGTGATAGTGATCAGTGAAAAGCAGTTACATGTAAAGCTAGTTTGTGGGTGGTAGCCTCCAGCTGTCTTCAAAAGTCTAATAGGTCTACTAAAAATCCAACAACAGTGGCAAGTCTCACAGGTAACAAATGGGGAAAGACTGAGACAGACAGCAAGAGAGAGATGAGTTAAAGTGAGAAGCCAGCTGTGATAAGTATAGCACTGGGATCATTCAACTCAATTTAAACCCCAAGGCGCTACTACAAACTTTGCAAGTTTCAGGACCACACCCTGTTTCAATGCCAAGCTCCACCTTTCTAGCCTCACTTGGGTCTGTTGTGATTGGACAATCTCATCAATGGTGGTGAAGGGGATGGGGTAAGAGAGTTGCAGGCCCTGGTTAAAGAAACCAAGACCCAGGGGCAACTGCCTCCATTGTTGGGCAATTAAACCCAATTAATAAGCGCATAAGGATAGAAAAAGACTTGGCTTATGTGAAAGACTAATATGAAACATTTATTGACAAAAAAAAGTTACAGGTTAGAAATATATAGTTTAAAAGTTACATTTTAAGTTTTAAGTTTAAAGTTTAAGATTCTCCTTTTGCCAGTGAGAAAAAAAGATTTGATCATTAATCTTTCTTCAGAATTGTCCATGAAACATTATTTAGGCCAAAGGTGACATCAGATATCAGACATTCACAAACGCCACATCGTGCGTTGCCCATCCCTTCCTGCGTGGTGGCACGGAGGCTGGGTTCCCGTCCAAACCCTTGCTGCTATGACGAGCTCTCCTGTGCCTCTGGTTTTACCTGTTCCCCAAGCACCGGCAACGCTGGGCGTGAGGCCTGGATGAAGCCTTAAAACATACTCCTCCACACGTACGTTAGGCTGAAAGTTTTGCTGGAATGAAAGGAATCCGTGCACGAGAGAAGGAGGGAGGAAGGGAGGAATCACTGTCTGTTTACATACTGTCTGACAGTCCAGCACATGGTGGCTCTCCACTGAAGTGCAGGCATAAAAAACCATAACCATCTAAATGCAAACATGGCGAGGTGAATTTTTACGGAAAAAGCTAAAGGAAGATCTGACTCGATTAATGTGGAGCCACACTGTAGGTTTAACATTTTAAGTTTAGTGAGTTAAAATGCCTGCGTTTGGTGCTTTGTTTGTCATGCAGTTTAGATTTTTATGCATATTCTTGGTAGTAAGAAGGTCTAAAACTTGACCAGTGGCTACTAAATGGCTACTTGAAGGTGTGGCTCTCAGTTTCACTTGCCTTAGGTCAGCAAAATCGGAAAAAGAGGAGAAACTGAGCCTGTTAACATATTCAACAGTTAAGTTTCAGTCATTGATCTCTAAAGAGTCAGATGCAGCCGTTGTTTATGCAAAGGAGAAGCTGCACTGATTTCTTGCAAAGCTGCCAGTGTCATCAAATGCAGCCTTGCATCTGCATAGTAACATTTGACCTAAATTTAAAGTATTGGCCAGTATTTTTCAAATAAAAATGAGCAGAGAAGAACAAAGAATTACTAAAATGTGTTTTACATATTAACATGTTTTTGGCCCAGATTGAACGTGAGATTTGATGTCATTGTCTCACAGTCAGCTGTTTTTCATAGCTGCCACATTACAACAAACTCCCTGTTGTTCTCGGTCTTATGACAGTTTAACATTGACTTAAGTCTAGGTTTTGCCCAGTAGCAGAATTTATCACATAGTTCACTAACAAACAACTAAACAACATAACTTTGTCTGTGGACGATAGTTCTGCCCAACAGCATAACCAGAGAATAGACAGCAGCCTCGAGACATACCGGTCGTCCTCAATTAGCCAATTGTGAAGAATTACACAGGAGAGAGGCCTCTGGATGTGAGAGGCCGAGCCTGGCTGTTAAAAAATGTATGAATGACTCAATGAACATGAATGTGAACATACATTTCTCAGTGTGGGGGTTTTGAAGTTGAACAAAAGTCCAACGCTCATCGATTCCTTTTTCTTTTTCTTACTAACAACTGAATCTAGCACACGATCACTCTTTGTAATGAGACAAAACTAGATTCCTTGAGTAGTTAGCGGTCTAATCAGATAAGTGTTGTGTTTCAAGTTTTATAGTATGTAACCGTAGCTATGTTTTATTAATTCCTTGTCTACCTATCTGACCAAACATCAAACAAATACAACTGTAATTCCCTTGCTAAATCCTGTTATACACTCTGGATCTGACAACCTTGAAACAAACAGGGTGAGTTGTGTTCATATTTGAAAGTTCAGGTTTCTCATTTCAACAAATGAATACTGACTCAAAGGCGGGTGAGGTTTTCTTTTACAGCCACATTTTCCTTCAGAAACTCACCTACTAATTACACAATCACATTACAATTAACATGCTAATTACTGAACCACCGACACCAAGATGAAAACAACTAAACAGGAGACTGTTTTGAGTTTCATTTATTTAGACACTTAAGATTTAGATTCATTCTGATCTTAAAGGAACCTATAACCATAGTAGTTTGTGGATTTTATGGTAAACTTATTAAGTTATTTATTTATGGACAATCTAAAAAAACAGAAAGATTGCAGGCAGTAATTCATTCTAATGATGATTTTTCATTATTGTCTGTAATAGACACAATGAGTCATCTGAGTCTGGACAAGGAGGCTAAAAAGAGGTTAATAATAATAATAATAATAATAACAAAAATAATTATAATAATAACAATAACAACAATAATAAAACAAATAAAAATCATAATAATAAAGCTAAAAAGCCACACTACTTGCTAATTATACTGTATTATATTTATATATTGATGTGGGGCTTTATCGACCCCAGGACACAAACTAGTCTTGAAGAAATAGTCACATCAACTCAGTGAGTAACAGCGACACCCAGAGGCCAAACAGTTACCTACAAAAAATAATTAAAAGCCTAATGCTAGGTGCAGGTCAGTGTAATTCATATTTAAATAATCCCTCCAGTATGAAAACATAATAACTGACTAAGCAGACTAAGTCTGCTGTGATAAAATATATACACACACATCAGAATTAGGTTTTACTTGTCATATTGATGTGGCAGGTAACACACACACGTGAGGTAGAGGGAAATTAACTGATAAATTACCTGGAATGAGTCCTTAAACAAGTACATTGTTGATCATCTGCAAAATGTTCAGACTTTATATTGACGTCTCTTTGTGAGTGTGGCTGTATGCAGCCTTCCTACAATTCAACAAGAAACTAAATTGCAGGTTTATTTTCTGTACAAAGTCTTGATTAACCTGTAAGGGAGAAACACATTGTTAGGCTCCTACTGACCCACCATCTTCCACCTTCAATGTGCAATGTGTATGTATGTCTGCCTCAAAGTCCAGAGCAGCCAGTCCTTCTTTGCTGGATCAATGCCATTTGTGTTAGATGTGGCAATTTGATTAAATACAACTTTATTAAGAACATCCAGCATGTGAGCACATTACCTAAAATACTACAGCTCTTAAAACTAGATTTTGACTCAGGGTCTCATGACATACTTACAGAATTAGACAATAATTGTATAGATGTGCACATGTGTAAAGTCCCACACAGAATTTGTTTGAGAAACATTCCCAGGGGTCAACCACCACAAATAAGTTCTCCACTTATTGCAAAAACTGTCCTAGATAAAGTAAAATAATATAAAAATGCATGTATGCGCAGCTTTGAGCATGTCAGGAGCACAGCAGCAGAACAGCAGTGCCCTAAAAAGAACCCCCAGTTTGACACATACCAGGACAAGGACCCTTATTTGATACAATGTAGTCTCAGGGATCCCTGTCCCTGATAAGAATGTTTATACTGTATATTAACAGTGGAGAGTTCTCTCATTGGGCTAACCTCTGGTAAATAAAATAATAATGAAATAATTTTTTTTCTGGGGACCCCCTGGAACCCCCTCATAACCCCTGTGAGTCCCTTGACCCCAGGTTGAGAACCACCGCTCTACTGTAACCCAGTGTAGAAGAAAAAATGATTAAGTGCCCTTTAGGTTGCCCTTCCAGTGGAGAAAACACTTGCAGTGTCTTATAGGCGGCCCTATAAATGAGTTGGCCTCCACATATCTCTAGATTGTTTAATAATTAATAGTTTTAATTACAGAGCTGTGGTTATACTTTAAATCTGAGACACATAATTATATATTTTTTAAAATCTTATCCAAGATTTGGAACTGTTTCACCATGCGTTCTGCGTGCTGGTGCCCTTTTACAGTACTACATATATGTGGAGGCCTGTTCATCTTTCTCCTCTGACTGACCTTTTGTTCTTTGTTTATATATATCAACTGATGGATGTAACTTTACTGTATTTTGATATAATTAAAAAAATATATGATAAACAATAAAAGTGCTCATACAAAGATCAATACATAAAGCCCAAAAATAAACTTAGTCTCTGTGCTTTGAGTGGAGTAGGGCACCTATATTTATCTGCTCTGAACGGGATTAAAAGTGCGACACTTGGCTTCAGCCAGGAACCTTTATATAAACTCTGGCAGGAGACCAGCAGTAGAGGGACACACCTCTACACCTTAAGTGGGAAACCCCGTCTTAATTACTCTCACTTGAGATTGAATCGTTATGAAATGTTTGAAACCTAACTTTTAAAAATTAAAGCTTTTGGCTTTTACGCACAGCAGCGAATACAAACGAATTGCCTACATCGAGTTAATCTGCCCAAATTTGTGAATGAAAATGCGGATGCAGTTGATTTGTCTCCCTCTGCCCGCCGTACTGAGGTTTGACTCGTTTACCGGCTGGGAGGAAGGCGTCAAACTCCTCCTCCGGGCTTTTTCCTGACTGTGAAACCAGCGCTCTCATTGAGCGCCAATAGGAAGGTGGAACAACAGGTAGGCGTCCTCTAACTGCGTCTACGGCTCAGTCAGTCGGTGATTTTCGGGGAAACAAGTGGAGCCGAGCAGACAATGAGCTCTCTTGGGAATGAGACAGATCTTCTCCCAGTGGTTTCTTAATGGTTTGACAGTTTCTTGTGAGAGAAGACGGGCTGTTTTATTGTGACTTTCGGCCTCTTTCGGCCCCTTTCGGGCTCTCTCGGGCTGGGAAACACTACAGAGACAGACTGAAAGGCTCTCTGGTTAATTGATTGGGAACATCTCAATGTGGATACAGCGCCGAAGGTAAGCGTGGCTGGCGGTGTGCGATCTGGAGCCTCAATAGATAATACATCTTTATTCTAAGACATACTTTAAATATTTCACTCTTTATCAGGTTGCACTGAAAAAACAGAAGCTTCATGCATTTTTATCAAATCAAGTTGTCTCCTAGCAGCATTAATATTCCCCCTTGTCATCTTGTGGTATCAGCTTGGTGTTGCATAATCCAAGAAGTGTAGCAATATCTTTGCCACCATGTGACTCACAACAATAACGCCTCCATCATATTCTTATGTAAGTTTCTGGTCTGATTTCGATTCCTGCAGTCTTTAAAAAAAGTATGTAGTAAGAGCAGGAACTGCAATAATTGGTAATTGAATCATTCAAGCTGCTTACTCTTTGGCACCAGTCTCTCTCTGTCTGACAGAAACATTTCAACATTAAGTAATTCATGACTTTTTAAACTAAAGCTGCCTCTAACTAAGGGTTTTCCTTCCTCACAGTTGCCATATTGCCATCACCATTAAAATCTGTCCCTCTGGGATATAGAGAGGACACAGTGAGACACAGCTGATCCGCAGAGGTCAGACGCTCTCTGACCCAGATCCCCTGCAGGAGGACATGGAGGTCCTGCGTCGGTCCTCTGTGTTTGCTGCAGAGGTCCTGGATGTGTTTGACCGGTCGTTGACTGAGAAGGAGCTGGTGTCCCAGTCTAAAGCCTTGTGCAGAGACTACATACTGTCCAGACTCAACCAGAATGGACTCGGATGGTCCAAAACTGAACTCAACTTCTCTCCCTCAAATGCAGCGCTGGCTGAGATGTCTTTGGTGCTTCTCTGTCTTGGTAAGAGAAACCAAAAAATGTGTTTGAATAAGGCAAAATTACATCTTTTATAGCAACCTTCAAGGCTTTAGTTATTATTTCCTCCTGTACTTTGAACCTCATATATTCAGGAGAGGATAACTCAAGTAAGATGAAGTGTCCACATTACAGCTGGTTCTTTGATTTCTTTCAGTTTGCCTCAGTTTGTTATTTAAAGTCGTCATTTAGGACGCATGTCTCAGTCTTAATATTTTAATATAAACATATAGTTTAAACATAATTCTTTAAACCAGATAAGATTCAGAGAGAGCAACGGCTGCACAGCCCTCAGACTTTATTTATTTAAAGTATTTTTATACCGTTATTATTTATAACTTGTATAGACAGAAGAGAGACGGCAGGACATGAGAGGGAGAGAGCAAGGGATGCTACAGAGGTTTCAGTCTGAGGACTGTGCAGTTGTCTGTGTCTTAACTGTGAGTGAAAGACAGTGCAGACATTTTGAATTTGTTCTTTGTTTTTCATTTGGGTCTAGGTCTCATAATACACTGAGTGTTTTTGTAGTGTTTTTCGATCACCATCTGGTTACATTAAGAAATCCTTTCTAAATTATGGATCCAAATATGTGCTTAATCACGTATTTGAGTTACCAAAACTAACAAATGGATGGAAGTGAAAACATACCTTCCTTGGTGGAGGTAACACTTGCGGCAACATACAATAAAATGAGAGGACCAAATGATAACTAAATTAAAGTCTTGTATTTGAGATTTTAAAAAGCTTTTTGAGTCCTCCTGGCAAAATACAGATTCAGTGTAGCAGCGCTTGCACAGATTAATGAAACAAAAAAAGACAAACTCTCAAAAGTAAATTTATTGAGTGCGTTTCCAGCAGCAGATTAAGATCAAACCTAAATTTTATGTCCAAGACTTTAAAATTAAAAACTTAAATTCCATTCACAGGAAATGACACGCTCTCCAATCCAACCCAATATTGATCAGCTCATCAGTTTTGGGGCAATCAATAAATTCTCATTATCTAACTAGTAGAGAGCTGACTGTTCTGACGGTGATATGATCGGGACTAAAAAGCTGAGCTGCTGCTTTCTAATCTACTTTTAGATAATGGTAGGCTGAGAACGGAGATGACTCAACAGAGCTGGAAAAGATAATTGATTCATGAATCTAGACCGAATAACTCTTTAGACTCAACTCTTAAAATGATTTCACCAAACTACTCTGTATATTTCACGCTGTGATGAGCTCGGGACTCACTTCAGACGGCAGCTAAAGTGCCCCTGAGTCTTTTTAAGAGACGTACATGTGTTACTTTAACATCCTGACAGCTCTCTGCTAGAGCAGAATAAATAGCTGGAATCGGTTGAATTACATGATAGTTTATATAACCCAGAGTGTTTAAATTATTGGTTTAAACTGAATCTGTGTTTTGGTTTCTGTCTCATTCATTCACATTAACTGCTATCTCACAGATTTTTTGATGCTTCTCTCTCTCTTTTTTTTTTTTGAAAATCTCCCTCTGTTACCAAGGCGACGAGCTGGAGTGTATACAGCCCAGCTTGTACAGGAACGTGGCGCGGCAGCTCAACATTTCTGTTGCCATGGAGAGCATGGTTTCAGATGCCTTCATCGGCGTGGCAACAGAGATCTTCTCAACAGGTACACGGCTGTTGTTGAAGGTGATGATGATGGTTATGATTATAATGTTTGCTGTCCGAGGTGGAAACTAAGCATGTAGTCTTCAGCCAAAGGAGATCTGCCAGCACAGGAAGTGATATACACTTCCACGGTGTCTCAGGCTACCGATGGAAGTGATTAAACAGGTGTGCCTCTGCAGTTTCCATCGGGCTCTTTTGGCTGAGAGGTGCTTCCAGTGAGAGTGAGTGAGTGGGTGTGAATCATAACGTAGGTGGAGTGAGATCTAAAACACATAATTGCTCCTACAGCTATCTCGAGTCACTAAGTTTAGACACTCTGGTGTTTCCTAAACAGATAGCACTGATTAGTTTAAGGTTTGGGGGTATGGATTTGATAGTGGATTGAAGTAGAATATCCTTTTTTTACATTTTTTTATGCAGAATTTCTGCACCATAAGGCCCAAAAAACACGATTTGAACAGGATTCCATCCAATCTAACTGCTGATTGTGTGCTATGTAATTCCTTGAAAAACTGTGATGTAATGTTCTTTATCATTATTTCTGAATCACATACATGATCTTCTCTACTTCACAATTTTCTTCGTCTTTATTTAACTAAGAACATAACTGTGGATCTTTTATTACAAATAAATGTCTGATCAGTCTTCTTGAAGGTTTCTGGACTTAATCTTGGTCTTTGCCACTTTTCATAGCCCTTCTGGTCCAGTGTCGTGACCATAAAGAATTCAAATTTGTTGTTTTGAGGACATTGTGGGGTGTTATAAAACTTTTTAGCCATGCCAGCAGTGAGACTCTGGGGACAGCGTTGTCTTTCTCTTATGACGCTTTGGTCCAGACTGAAATATCTCAGCAACTTACCTGATGGATTGTCATGACATTTTGTACATACATTCATGGTTTTAAGGATCAATCCTACAGATTCTGATGATCATCAGGCTTCTTCTTGAGCCACCATGATGTTGATGTTTGCGTTTTTTTGAGTGAAATGTCTCGACACCTGTTGAATAGATTGAATTGGATGCAATCTGGTACATTCATGTCCCCCACATAATACATCGTAATCACTTTAATGATCTAGTGTAGTGGTTCCCGAACTTATAATTTATTAACTGACTAAGTGATATATTTTATGGATATTTCATATTATTTTCAAAACTGTACAATGAACCCGAATAGTGATCTCAGTAACTGTGAGTGAGTAAGTGATTTGGGTGAATTCTCGTTCAGTCTTGGTCTTGAGAGAGATCAGTCTAGCTTTGTCTCAACTTGAATCGACTCGTGTTAAGGCCCTTTTTTAGACTTTAGGTCTAAACTTGTTTGTGCTGGCTTTTTGTTTTAAGTTGTCATGACAACAGATCTGTTTTGTATATTATTCAAAGGAGCACTGACATTTTGAAGTATCCGAATAAAAAGAGTGACTTTATGTCTTCTGTATGAGCCTTCGGGCTTAGATGGTCTGACCGCAGTGCGATGCACAACTAAAATTTGGCTCCTTTCCAGGAAAGATCAAAAACAGACTCGCTTGATATAATTTTCATGCCTGTGTTCTGGCAAAGCTTTCACTCGTTTGGACGTCATGGGGGTGCAATTTGTGGAAACAGCGTGGGATTCCTGCTGAAGAATAACAAACTGGTGAACCCAGGCTGCCCCAGCCTTCTGGGACGGGTTGAAACCTGGATATAAATAGAAAAGTGCATCTAAGTTTGTTTTTCCTGCTGTCCGGAATTTGTTTTATAACTATCTACTTTAGCTTTTTTTACATTCCTTTACAGAGGAATGATAAGTCCAGTGACCCCATACTTTTTTTGGAGGCGGTTTAGCGGCCATCTGTACTGTGGTCTTCCTCAGTAAAATCAACATGGCTTGTCTCTCCTCCATCTATCTTTGCCTGCCTCCCACTGCTGTTCTTTCTCTTTCCGTCCTCCTCTCCTCCAGCTTTATCCCTGACAATCTTGTCTCTATTCTTGGCCTGCTTCTGAGTAGGGAGTGAGACGTGACGTACTCTGACAGCTTCCGTGGACAGTTATCTCATTTAAGCTTGCCCAGAGCTCTATCCCCTTATAGCCACAGTCAGACGCTGTAGGTCAGCTCTGAGGAACAGTTATGACAATGCAAGCCGGTCTAAGGAGGCTAATGCTATTAGGCCATGCACTCCATCACTGATGGTCGTTTTAACAATCCCTACTGCTCTGAAACCTGTACCTGGACAGGGCCGGATGCCCTTAATTGTCAGACTGGATTGAGGACAAAGAATCTGCCCTTTTCCAGATTTATGACTCTCAATTGCTTCTTTGTGGTGAAAAAATATTTTTTTTAACCTTTTGACCTCCTCACAGTGTAAACTGTGTCAGTGTTCACCCACCACTTGACAAAGGCAACACAGTCGCACCCTCTTTAATTTACAACTGGCACGGTAAGACGTGTTATCAGCTACATTAACACAAATGCAGGTTTGTTGACTTAAACCTGATATTTACAGTTTATTTCAGTACAAGGTCCACTGGCTGCCCCACATGCTTCACTCCAGGTAACAGAACATGTAACAGACTGTACGGAAAGAGAAACCATGGAGGAGATTGGTGTTAATGCCACGAGAGCAGGAAAGGAGTGTTTATGTTGGGATAAATATGGCAGTTTATTGATTCTGGAAATTTTTTTCTGAAATTCTGTCCCCTTGGAGGCTTGACTCATATCTTCTGATAAAGTGTGATTTTCTTTTTTGCTTCTCACTTATCAAACAGCTCAAACATCCTCTCATTCAAAGATGTTTTAAAGCATATAAAAACACTAAAAAAATCCCAAATCCCAAATCTTATGACATTTTTCCAAATAATGTCTTATTGCATTGAACTTGTGTGTAACATTTAGGAGGATTAGGGCAAGAAATGAAATATAATATTCATAGGTATGTTTTAGTGTTTTTTGTATTAGTGTATAATCACCTGAAAATGAGAAAAATTGTGTTTTGTTACACAATGAGCCGCTTATATCTACAGAGGGAGTGGGTCGCCTTCCATAGAGGCCACCATGTTTTTACAGTTGGCCAGAACAGACAAACCAAACTTTTATTTTAGGCGTTTTGTGGCTACCGCAGTTTCTCCTACTTGCTTGGAGAGGGTGGATGAAGCAACTTAGTGTAAAATGTGTCAGTGACAGATAATTATATTATAGTTATTAATATGATAATAATAATAATAATATCTAAATGAATGAGTTGCATTTGACAGCATTTGATACCAAACTGGGGTGGCAACCATTGACAGTATATATAAGGTAGCAACATATTTGTGTAAGTTTGCATATTGGACCATGATTGGCACCAAACATGTGCTGCTCGTATGTACATTTCTTATATACAGATTGGGCTGCAACTAACAGTTATTCTCATAATCAATAAATAAAAGAATTAATCACAGTTTTCCAATGCCCAAGATGACATCTTCAAATGTCTGTTTTTTACTGTATTCAGTTTAGAATAATAAAAGAATAAGGAAACTAGAAAATATTTACATTTGAGAAGCTGTAAACAGATAGTTTTGGCATTTTTTCATCAAAGCGATAGATTATCAAAATAGTTGGAGATAAATGTTCTACTCCTTAATCTAAACACAGAGAAACTTCAGCAGATGAATTTGAAAACAGCTTCTGCACAGTGAAACAACAAGTAAAACACATTTTTGAGCTTGTACATATATCCATAGACATAATAAAGTCATGAAACATAACCCTGTGATGTCTGTCTTTCTCTCTGTAGGTATAACGTGGGGTAAGGTGGTATCCATGTACGCAGTCGCCGGAGCTCTGGCAGTGGATTGTGTTAGACAAGGACATCCAACCACTGTTCATATCTTAGTGGACAGTTTGGGTCAGTTTGTCCGCAAGTTTCTGGTTCACTGGCTGAAGAGACGGGGAGGATGGGTGAGTGACCACTGTTGTATGTGCTGTTACTTATGAGCTGTATGTGAAAAATAGATTTTTATATGATTAGTGCCGCTGGAAACGTGACATTTAAACAAGCTGACATTTGAGATGACGAGAGAGAAAAAAAACACAGACAACAAACTGGTCTACGACATTTCTTTTGCTGAAGCTAGATGATGAATTTATCCTGTAATCTTGTTTATGGATCAGACCTCAGTTTGCTTTCATAAGCTCTGATGCTCGTTAGTTATGTGAATCTGATAGTAGCTCGCTCATAATGTAGCTTCCTGTTGGCTCAACTAATGAAAATGATTGCAGTGGTATATTTATTTATTTATTTATTTATGTATGTTTAGGTGCAGCACTTAAGTTATTTTTATGCTTGACTCGAATAAGATTAGTTTATACATTAGACATAACTTGGAATGTGTTTGTTTGCTCAGTGATTTAAAAATAACAAAGAATAACCTCATGTCTGAATCATTTTGGTGAATTTTATTTACAGCTAATAGATGTGTTTTGGTGTGAAGCTTTCCTCAGAGTATACAGTATAATACATTAAATTCACCAAAACTAAACAAGACATGAGGTTGTTCACAAGCTTAATTTTCACAAAAAACAGTTAAAATCATGATGATGTGAATCTTTTTGGGGTCTGTACCAAACAAAAATGTCAGAGCATCTCTTCAGAGTCACAGCACTTAATTATAATTATAATGTTTGGTCACATTTCATTTTTTTAATTGCACCTTCTGCAGTTATGCAATTTTGATAGTTTTTTGATTGATTGTGCAGCCCTAGTTTCGTCCTCATGATAGTTGAACTGTATTTGTTTTGAAGGTCCAGTGTGAAACATTTAGGAGGATCTACTGGCAGAAATGGAATATAATATTCATATGTGTGTTTTCATTATAAACACCTGAATATGGGAATCGTTATGTTTTTGTTACTTTAGACAGAGACGAGACCAAACCCTGGGTTTAGATGAGGATTTTGCGTTTTCCGTAGGTTTTGCAGCCACCGTAGTGGTGTTCAGTTAGTTACAATCTGCTACGTCACTGCTAGATGCCACTAAATCCAACACACTGAAACTTTTAACAAATATATATATATTTATATTAAAGTTAAACCTTGATGTTTCATTACAGTCTAATTTTTAAGATATCCATGTCCTTTTTTATCAGGCGGAGATCACAAAGTGTGTGGTGAAGAAGGATCTCACCCCCGAACACCACTGGCTGTCCTCTACCATGGAGTCCCTGAAGTACTTCCTCACTACGGTGTACGTCTACATAATGAAGGAACCGTGAACGGCCGAGACAGAGCGCACAGGAGGAGTCGTCATCATTGTTGGATAGGAGATTAAAATCTCAGACTTGTCAATAAACGATGGTGTGGGAATGGTCGCTGTGCTTGATGGAGACTGAGCCTGCCAGCAGATATCAGTCTGTCGCTGAATGGCCATCAGCAAATATTTCATGAGCATCATGTTTGTGTTATCAGATAAGTCTGTCAGTGATTGCCCTTCATCCAAAGAGTAGTCACCGTGACATTTAAGAGCATAAATGGCAATGGAACAAGTTTGTGTCACTCCACCTCTTCTGCATATTTTCACACTGCTTACACCGGTGCAGTGCACCAGGCTTCTCCAGTGTTGTGGCTGTAACGTATGACGGTGTTTCAGGTTGAATGTGAGCAACGTGAGGCTGTTTGCACTCCTGAGATAAAACAGTTCAATGCTTTCATGTGACGTTTGTCTCCGAAAATATACCTGAAGGAGAAATGACGGCGAAAGCCATGTTTGTAATGATGATTGATGCTCAGCTGGCTGGGTCTTAATAGATATCAGATGATGAAGAAAGGCGTTTCTCTCACGAGTGATTTTACACTTTAGAGATGGATATCAGGTGGTATCAACTGCTTTCACTTCATGGGCTTGATTTACATTATTGTCATTTACCAAAGCACAAATGGTGTCTCTTTCCAAATATGATCCAAAATGTTGTGACCAATTTTGCAGTTTTAGACACTGTTGACCAAGAAATGTTGGGTCTAATTTTGCCCATTTTTGGCCAAAGACCTTAAGGACAGAAGAGTATGTGCTGCATCCACATATTTTGGTGGTACTGATTTCCTTTTTAACCTGTAAATAGCTTATTTATTTTTTTATTTGATTAAGACTTTAACAGTTGAAGCCACTGCAGTATAAAAAAACGCCACTACAACGGCTCTTCGGGATGATTGTGTAGTATGTTTGATGGTTGTCACTTTCAGTATTAATTTATAAATTGTGTCTGAATGTTTTTTTAATCCATAATAAACTTAAAATCTTCACCCATGTAGGCTACTTATGTTGATTATTTCATGATAATTCTTTTCCACTGAGCTGGCACTCGTGCAGCTTTTTTATGGGATAATCTTGACAGTTTAAAAATGCTACTGTACCCTGCTTTATGAGTCGCAGGAGCTAAAGGGAAACCTGATAGATTCCATAAAACATCAAAATGCTATAGATAAGTGAAATAAATAAGTGAAGACAAGGTAACACAATATAGATGAAATAACTTTATTTTAATCGTCATCTACCCGTATACCACTGAACCTGTCGACTGAAAGACACAAACCAAACGTGGACATGATCACAGTAACACCCAATATAAGAACAACTCTCAGTGACTTAATTTTACAATCAAAAAACACTCAAACAGTGTATTGACTCCTTACTTTAGCTTTTAATCTTAATATAATAGTGCAATGAAAGTTAAAGATAAGGACAGTGTGCTTAACATTATTTAATCAGTGCTTTATGAGCTCTTGCAGCTACAAGATTAAATATCTGGACAATAAATATTAAGATAACGCAAGCACCCATACTCAACTGAGGCCATTAAGTGTAACAACGTAATGGAAATGCATTATATGAATATGAAGTCTTTATTCTTTCCGATTAAAAGGTTCCCTGTGGAGTTTTTGCCTCTTTCTGTTTCTCTCCGAGTGGGTCCTGTTTTATTTATCTCAGGTGACGCAGTGCACATTCCTGCTAATGTGCCAACAAAATCAGGAAGGCAGACTATATACTAGTAAAGTATGTAATAATGCAGGATTTAAAATTCTGTTAAATCTTCTATGAGGGAGGGCATGAACTCCACATGTCTGTTAGACCTCAGGGATAAACAATGCGTTTTTGGTGAGTAACGCTAACTTGTTTGTTTATAAGAAAACTCCACAGGGACCCTTTAAGGTTTTTTTAGATTAGGCAATGCCCCATTATTACTGCATGCAGCCTATTGTATTATAACCCACGTTTAAGCTGATTTAAATTATTTTAACAGGTACTCTGATATGGCACCATCACTCCTTTACCATTATAAGATCCCACCAGTGCATAGCTGTACATTTGTTTACATAATCTGACTCATCTGTGATTATTGATCGAGCTTCTTAAAGCGACGTTTTCCATTCCTGACTGAGATGTTTTTATGTACAAGAAGAATGCCAGCCTGCTGGGTCAAGATAAACGACGGTAGGTGATGTGCAAGTGCTGCATCAGTGCCTGGCTGTCTGTTGCCATGGAAACTGTCTGCTCCAGCCTCCCATCTGGTCGCAGCTGAAACACTCTTGAAATCTGAAAGATGGAAAAGAGCAGGTGAGGAGACTGAAAATAAAAGTTACTTTATTGATTTAAATAACTTCCAGAGAAAGGTTCTGTTGACTTTGTGGGCAGCATTTGATCTTAGCGAATTAACTGAAGTAATTAATGCTGACGATGAGTGTGTGATCAGAGAGAATCTGTTCTACCTGCTGTACATGCGGCTCCCTGGCGAAAGAGATTCTGGCCACAGCCTGGCTCTGCAGGTTCAGTTGTTGCCCTGTCAGCTCTCCCTCCTCAATCTCCACCAGACCTGCACCAAAAGATGCACTGAAGTCAAAACATGTGTGAAGTGTGTGCGCGCTTGGCCGCTAGACAAAGACAGTACGCTAGCCCTTAAAATCAACACACACAACACACACACACACACACACACACACACACACACACACACACACACACACACACACACACACACACACACACACACGACACACACACACACACACACAGACACACACACACACACACACAACACAACACCACACACACACACACACAGCACACACACACAGCACACACACACACACACGACACACACACACACATCACACACACACACACACACACACACACACACGCCCTTAAATCTTCAAAAATATACATTGGAAATAGTTTTAAAGCCGTTTAAATCATTAAATTCATGATCTGAATTGCACAAAGACAGCAAAAGTAAGACAAAACAAAGATAAAGCCGTGTGTGTGTGTGTGTAACTGCCACGTATTCATGTTTCTGCATTAAGCTGTCACTGTGGCCCTGAGTGAGATTTAATATAACGAATGCAAAATACATTGAGAAAAAACATTTTGCATATCCACATTAAGCAACTGATTCAACTACCTGAGTTCTGTGCGATGATGAATGCCACTCTGTTGGTTCCCGGCTGCATTCGAATGAAGCCACACTCCCTGTGCATCGGCTTCTTGGTCTCTGCGTGGAAGGCATTGAACCTGAAACAGTGAGGAATCAGCTGAAGTCTGTCAAACAGAGTTTCTAAATAACAGGAATCAGGCATCAGTTTTTGAAATTCTAGTCTTGACAAACACATTTACAGTTAGTTTAACTGACCAGAAAATCTAAAATCTAGTTCAGTTACATAAGAGTGACTAATACACCTAGTCACTGTTCTATAAAACTTCTATAAATAACACTCACAGGGCTTTGTTCTATAATACTGCATTCAAATGTTCTGACTGGTGGACGGTTTGGTCTGGCATTTTTCTGCTTGTACCGTTTCTATTGTGTCTCTAGATTTACAATAAAGTTGAATTAAAACCTCTTGTGAGATAATTCATGGCAGTGGGTAACAAAGACTGCAAACAAACAAACTGTCAAAGCAAAGACCCGCCCTCTTAAAAAAGAATGTACCTAATATTGTTACTGTGATAAAGTTTAAAAGGGTAACACCCGCTGAAAATGTTGCTTTCGCTGACCCCCAGTGGTCAAACTTCTCAGCTTGCTGCAGTTATGTACTGGTTTGCTCAATACCTGAGTAACCAGTGATGGGTGAGGTTACAGGTGAGACAAAGTTCACTTCTGACCACACCCGTCAACGATGCTGGGTGTGGTCGCAGGTGAAACTGGCTTGAAAGCCTACATAAACCTACATAAAGTTGATGACTGGTTGTCCCACATGGCTGAAGGTCAGTGTCTCTGAGTAGTGGAAAGGTTTTATGGTAGGAAAACAGCCCTCCCCAGGTTCATCTGACTCCCAGGTACCCAGAAGCCAGTCTAGAGGGAGGAGGACTGGGTTCAACTCCACTGGTGGTAAAACACACAAAACAGTTATATTACTTTACATTAATAGGAAGTTTAGATTTATTATCAAATAAGAAATGATTTAATATAATTTGAAGTCAGTAAAAAAAACAAAAAGACATCTGGAATCATGCAACAGGACAATTTACGAGTCAGCTGACAAAATATCTTATCTAGTAGTAAATGTTATTAACTGGATGCAGACATTGTGACTGTCAGAAACTAAAACATGTCAAAATGCCTTCAATGAAAAAGGCCTATTCTGTATAAGAATATGGATCTATAACCTTTAATTAAATCAGGTAATCTCACTGAGATCAAGATCTCTTTTGTAAAAGAGACAGTAAATAAAAAAAGACAAACAAACACACCTGGACAAGACAAATAAATACACATATACACAATACACAGCCATATAAACTGAACTGACCAAGGTAAGAATTTGACACGTCAGAAAGTGTTTGATTTTGTTTTTTTCTTTCATTTAAAAATCATATTCTTTTATTCTGAGTTAAGTCTGTTGTTGTGATATAGAGGAGCACAGTTTATATCAAGGCCAATTAAAGTATCGGTCAATAATGGGAATGAGATTTATTTCATTATATATTATTCTGATAAAGAATGATATACAATATATATCGTCAGTAATTATTATTTCTTTTGAATTCTTCATTTTGATAGCCTTTATGTTCTATGAAAGCCAAAATATGTTTCTTGATTTACTTCACTAGAAAAAAAACAAAAAACAGATGAACATTTAAGGATCAGAACTATTGTTTGTTTTTGTTGTGTATTGTTATGTACACACACGTATTTGTTATTTGTTATGTAAAGCAGTTTTTAATGCATGAATTGTGCTACAGAAATAAAGTGTATTATTATTATTATTATCACTGTCAATGGTACACTTAGTATACTGTCAATGATACACCCCCATATACACTTCACTCCCGAACTACGGCAGATGAAAGCCAAAGGTCGACAGCTTGAGCGACTGTACAAGAAAACTGGTCTTGTTGTTCACAAAGACATGCACAGAAATCACAT